AACTAACTAAGTGTGACCTCAGTTGTTCCTGGAACCTACTTTTGGTTTTCTCGTTACTCAACTCAGTTCTAATGGGTCTTTTTAATGTGGCTTTTTTGCGTCCATTGAGGCGCAAGCAGATGCGTGCCCGTATTAGGGCATGGTCGGAGTCCAAGCAGGTGCTCCAGAATGAACGACAATCTTCTACCGACCCTCTCCAACGATGACTGATGGCAATATGGTCTATTTGAGTCCATCGTTGGTTTGGTGTAGGGGGTCGCCATGTTAGACGATGTCTCTCCTTATGCTTAAAATTTGTGTTTGCTAAAAATAAACGATTGTCTGAGCATAGCTGCAGCAGACGATCACCATTATCTGTTCGCTGTGTCGGAATACTAAAATATCCACCTAAATGCCTTTCTGTTTGGTTTAAACTGCCTATCTGAGCATTAAAATCACCTGCTACGAGTACTATGTCTGAGCGTTTAGCTTTCTGAAGAAGTTCGGATAGCTTTCTGTAAAATTCATCTTTCACTTCATCTGAGCTGCAGTCAGTGGGAGCGTAGGCAGAAACGACAAAAAGGCAACGACGTGTGTCCCTATCCTTCCGAGTTCTTACGTAGCCGTTCAGCCGAACAGCACATAGACGACTGTTGACGGGGATCCACTCTAGCAGTGCTTGTTCGGCCCTTATGCTTAGTGCTATGCCTACACCTGCCAGTCCACGAGAACTTGCCATCGGGTCACCGGACACACGAAGGGTGTATCTCGTTGGCTCTCCGTCTTGCCGAGGTGAGGTCAAGTGAATGACCACACTGGAATCCTGTATGCGTGTTTCGGAGACACAGCATACATCAATGGAAAGAGACTCTAGGGTTTTAGCCAAGGAAGCCTGCTGACCGATTTGACATAGGGTGCGTACGTTGAAGGCTCCAATGTGTAGTTTGGAGCGAGGTTTCAGTAGACCTGGGACAGTGTTTTGCGCACTAGAATCGTTGGCTATGGTGACACTTGAGGTGGAAGCCGAGAGAGGAAATACAGAGTTGAAAGTCGATGTAGGAGGAATAATAGGAATTGAAGAAGGAGGTTGATTATGAATACAGTGGACTTGAGTGCTGTTAGAAGTATGAGGGCGGTTATCACTTCCCGGTTGCCCACACCGTGGAAGGGTTGTTCTGGAGGTACCTGAAAAGGAAATTGGATTAAAGGTGGTCTTAGTGAACTGAGAGCGTGACCGCAGTGCCCAAGGGACAACTGCTTGAGGTCGGTCACACACGACCTTGTTATGGGTAATTTTTGTGTTAGCTCCGTACTTATTGAGACCTTACCGCCGGAGACGGATATCCGTGGGATAAGGCGAGGTGTGCATTTTTAGGGTCGACCTTTTCTAACCCCACCCCTCCTTGTGGGAAGGCAGCATCGCTGTCATGCTGGTTGTCTGAAGGAAACACCTTACTGCTGTCACACCTCTGTACAGTCAGCAGTACGACTTCGCCTTCGGACCTTGGGTTTGTTGCTTTTAGTCTTACCGCTCTTCAACCGACCTGTCTGACATGGTAGGACCTTGAGGAACGGTTGTTCCAGCCAGTATAGCTCGGTTGCTTCATCACGATAGGCAAGCCCGACCACCACGTCAAGGTAGCAACAACGGTCGGGTTGGGGACATTTTGGGGAAAAATCACAAATTTTGGGGAATTTTGGGGAAAGTTTGGGGAAATCCCCGAATTCAAATGACCATCACCAAGGTAAAAGGGAAATTTTGGGGAAATATTGGGGTTTTGGTGCTATTTCCCTAAATTTCCTCAAAGTTTCTATAGAGGCTTTCCCAAAATTGGGAGATAGGGATTTGTTTACATAATTTAAGTTTCTTCAATAATTTAAAGTTTTATTGGTTAACATTTGTAAAAATTGTAGTGAATAAATTTTTCGAGGTGTGCACTTTTTTAAAAAGAAGGGTGACGAGTTTAAAATTTATGGACGAACTTATCAGGTATAAAATAACAGGTCTCGGATTTTGGCGTGGAATTCATTCATCCATTTGGCTAAATTGAGTTTTGACATTATAGCTGATGAAAACCCTAAATCTAATTTCTAGCCTTAATCATTAACTGTACATCATAATTCTAATTGGTTTATAATTTTCATTTGGTCCAAATTATTAGGTGGACACTCTCAAATTCAGTTTAACGTCGCTCAAAGACCGTCCATAAATTACAGTCTCACTAAAAGGGTTTTTGAAAATATTAGTTCAAAAGTGTAAATTGACTTATATGCTGTTAGTTGTTGTCCGTGCTTGTGAATTGTGAGGATAAAATATGGAAAATTTGTTTGTTTCAATCTAATTAGCAAGTATATTTTAATCTTCTTTCATATGATTCTTAAGAGTGTGAAGAAATAATGTGATAAATATTGTGTAGGATGGTTTTTTTGTTACAAACTGACACATGAACATTAAGATTTATTAAATTACTGTTTCCTCTTAAACAGGGACACAAGAAGCGTATTATCTATGTATTCATTTACATTATAAATATAAAATGATTCTAAGCTAATGTCAAAAAAGAGTTATTAAGCAAATTTATCGTGCTACTTACTATGAAACCAGAAGGTTCAGAGTTTGATTTAATGATAAATAATTTCAAGAACTATTGCAAAATCCCACATTTAGAAAAAAAGACAGTTATCCAGCTCATTCTGGTACTTAACAATTTTGAAGCTGCAGTCATTTTACAACATGATTTTACTTCTCAATAGTAATAATATTCACAAAATTAACTATAATAATTTTCTAACTTGTAAACATAGAGCTACCCAGATTAAATTGACTAATATTCCTCCGTCTCCATATAAATCGTCCTAGTCTTCTTCATTCTGACTTCAAATATTTTCCTATATTTTCAACTAAATAAGTTCTAGTGAGAACCTGTAACTAGTGGAGTCCAATCTGTATCGGGTGGAGACAGTTACCCACCTCAGACAATGAATGGAGGGTTGCGCAAGATCATAGATCGATTGAAGTTAAACATTAACATCACTGGACAGAGGCTCACTGATCTAGAGGCTATGTATTTACGTGCGAGATCAAAGGTCTTGGGTTCGAGTCCCGCGTGCCAGGTCGTGCATAAGCACTGCTGAGAAGCCCCTTATTAGGAAGAAACTGGTGGTCCAGTTTAGATCGACTCATGAATTCAACTATTACATATACTGCAATCTCCACAAATCCCCATTCTGTAAATGAGATATGTTTATTGTCTAGTTGCATCATTTGTAAAATTTAATAAAACATAAATGCAGTCTTTATTGTATATTTAATGTTACTTCCAACGTCATAGAACATATGAGAGATGTAACGGCTGTGGACCCCTGAAAAGCACCCACCCACTACCCAATACTAACTATACTGAGAAATGTCGAGTCTGGGGGCTAGCACGATACTTTTAGGGTTTTTTCACGCGAATCAAGTGGCTTGTAAATATAAATTTACAAATTATTCAACTAATCAGTAAATGAATGACCAATAAAGAACTGAATTCTAAAGAGTTAAGTAAGAATCACCTGTAGTGTGATATAAATGTCATTGATGGGACTGTATAACAGTGTCAAAGTGAAACACTGAATTCTAACTCAACAGTAAATAGTTATGTAACTTGGTGTGATAATCAAATGCTAGTCAATGTTCACTGATGAGAATTCCTAGAACAGAATGAATCATTTTTTTCATCGCTGTTTGTTTCAGTTATTCACAAGTTGATTCCAATCCTTGATGAAATCTACCACGAAACAGTGTTGTTATCCGAAAGCTTTAAACATAAGTAAGATAAATTAAGTATAATATGTTTTTTAAGACTTATTTTATATTTATTTCCATAAGACACCACATAAATAAAGAACTAGAATTCATCATAACACTTAATAAACATGAAAAATCAGTTCTAACTAACTACTTTTAAAGACATTATTTGGTTTTATCAGTAATAATATTGATTACTCCTTATAGATATTCAGTATCCATCTTTCATTTAATTTTAATATTATTGTAAGTATAGTCGCTTCTCAGTTATTAGTCTGCTATAAACGAAGTCAATATTTACCCAGGTTTGGTAGTCGATGTATTACTGTCATATTGCAATACTATCATATCGCCAATTGGTTTGAACAAAATCGATAAAGATTTATGATTAATGAATTTTTTTTCAGATTTTAGAAGACAATGTTCCTTCATTACTAGCCTTTATAATCAGCAACTCTTACGAGGAGATTAAACATTCTGGGTAGTGTTAACCATTTCAATTATCTTCAAATTCTCATTGTTTTAAATTATTATTGTGAATTGTGATAATCTGTAAAGACTAATATTTATATAAGGTTCCAAGTTGTTTCCATCATTATATTAGTGTATCTGAATCTTATTCATCAAAAAAGGAAATACATAGAATTAATATCAAAAGTACATGACTTAAATTAGACAAACTTCAATATCTTATTATCACTAATATTGTTTTGGATGTAAAGCTCTGAATTTTCGATTCTAGTACCAATTGTTTCAGCCGTCTGCAAGATTCTCAGTCAGAAGGAATTAGGTAGACTGCTGTTTACATGATATATTATTGTGAAAGATTGCTCCATGTTGACTGCATGTCCCAGGTGAATTAAATGGGCTAAAATGGAGCTGTTAACCATTTTAACTACACTTTTGCTTAACAACAGTAGGAGGTGCTCACGAGCTCGAATATACAAATTCCTAGGACATCTGCCAATATAACTTGCTCCACAAGAGCAATTGAATTAATAGATACAGAAAGAAGTGGTTCCATTTTATCCAATTTAATTCAGATGGGATATACAGCCAACATGGAACAATCTTTCGCAGTAATACATGGTGTTAACAGCAATCTACCTAATTCCGTCAGACTGAGATTCCTACAGACGGCTGAAACAATTACTAATATTTTTATTTTAAAACGACACTGAATGGTAAACAAAAAATATATATTCAAATAAATCAATGTAATATTACTTACCATGTAAAGTAAAACTCGTCCAGCTGATTCTGCATACTCATTAATTGTAGATAATACACTGAGAACAAGGCAACCAAAAACTGAAGCAAATCTATGTGATGATAGAAAGAAAATGTAAGGAGAAACAAGTTAAGTTTTGCAAAAGAATATAGTTGAAAAACCTCATTAATCAAATAAAAAATACATACATTACCTGTTGCCATATTAAACAAGATTATTTTATATGAGATGCTTTTGTAGTTACCAATATAGTTACCGATATAAATCTTGTAAATAATTGGACACTTTGTCCTTAATAGCATAAATATGTTGACCCACAATTTAGTTTCTTCACTTAGTTGTGTTTTGAAGTGTAAGTTTTCAGATTGGTTATTTTTTTTCAAATATCCATCTTTTTATTAAAATCTTGTGGTGTGTGCTACTAATGCCGACAGATACAAGTAGTATGTATTATCAATCAAAAGTGGAATGACTAGCGGTAGAAGATTAAGAAGATCAAAGAAAAGAGAACGAGAACAAAGAATGATTGGTGTGAAAATGAAGGAATAATCAAGTATGAGACAATTGATTGACATTTTGCAAATGAAGAATTTACTTTATGATTCTCAGATTTTACTAAGACATTCTGTAATTGTGTATTTAAATACAATTGGTTGTCCCCACCTGTATTCTTATTCACCACATATTTACATAAAAAATCTAGTGAAAATCTAATAGAAGTGACAGAGATTTTTAAGTAAGAAATTTCGAATCCCAATATGGTAATTGTTTACATTAATTTAACCCATGTTTAATTCTTTGTCAATAATTTCGCATTTGTGTTTGAAAATTATCAGAAGGGGTTTTATGGATATTACAGTAATTTTTAATAGTTGAGATCATGAGTGAATTGAAGCTAGACCACCATAGAAAACGTGGAACTCAATTGACTCATGATCTCAACCATTAAAAATTACTATAATATCCACAAAACCCCCTCTCACACTAACCAACATATGCTCACTAGTGACTGGCTTCACGAGGTATTTCCTGGAGTTCTAGTGAGAAGCAGTGACCAGTGGAGTTCAACCAGGTTTGTTGTGAGATATTAACTCACTGAAGGCAATGATGGATGTGTCGTTCAATTTCATTGATTATTTGAAGTTAGACATTAACACCGTTGGATACCGGATCAATGATCTAGAGGTTCAGCGTTCGCACACGAGACCGATATGTCCCGGATTCGATTCTCGCGAGGCGGGATCATGGATGTGCATTGTAAATCTATTGTTTGACAATATTGGACAGAAAAAAGTATGTACATAGAACATTGTGAAAAATACCAATAAAAGATTTGGTCATTCATAAATGTCTCTACGAAAAAAAACGAAGCAATAGAAAACACGAGCTCTTTTATTCCGAAAGAGATAATGCTGACTAGAAAGACAGTTAAAAATTTACAATTCAGTCATTCATTCAATAAAATGCACAACTACTGAGAATACATTGGATCACTAATATATATCATCAAAATATTATATATTATATTGACTGTTTTCTATGTTGTTGTTTATCTTTGTTTCTTCCTTACATTAAAACTGTCCACTAAAGTGTACTCCGTTCTTGTGCTGTTTTAATGAGCTATAAGCATCAGTTTAGCCATTTTAAGTGTGCTAGCATAATTAATTTTCATCTTTCTATAACTTGTATAATTGTAAAATGAGTAATGAATTGATTGTAAAATGCTTATTTATTATCCTCATTTCTTGTTTTACTACTAAGTAGTTTTATAATGATTAACTATTAACTGTTAACCTTAAAATGACCTAAATATGTCTAATGTTAGTGAACAAATGAATTTTCCACCAAATATAAATTATATTTCAGTTTGTCATATACGGAATGAACTATGACACGAATCAAGGTTATCTGTAATGACTTAGTTACGCCTATTACCCCTCGTCGATGAGCATAGACCGCCGACCGGCATTCTCTATTCAACTCTATCCTGAGTGATCCTTTCCATTTGTTTCCAGTTGCTATTCATTCTTTTCGTGTCTGCTCCCAATTCTCAGCAGAGTGTGTTATTTAGTATTTCACTTTTCCGTTTCCCTTAAGGGTTACATGTTAGTACTTGCTTCGTGAAGAAGTTTGATGACTTCCTCAATATGTGTCCTATCTACTTCCAACATCTTTTCCTAATTTCATTTTCAGATGGAAGCTGGTTTGTTCTCTCCCACAGAAGGCTGTCAACGGACATTGAGTATATTGTGTAGACAATTGTTTGGAAATACTTGCAACATTTTGATGATGGTTGTGGTCGTTGTGCAAGTTTCAGTCTCATACAGTCGAACTGTATTGACATTTGTATTGAAGATTCTCACTTTGACATTGGTTGACAGTTGTTTTTAGTTCCATATGTTGTTCAGATGTGAGAATCCTGTCATTAATTTGCCAATTCCTACCTTCACGCCTTCATCTAATCCTCCTTGTTCATCGGTGATCCTTCCCAAGTACGTCAAAGATTCCACATCTTCTAGAGTTTCGCCATCAAGCGTGATTGGGTTGGTGTTCTCCGTGTTGCATTTCAGGATCTTGCTTTTTCCTTTCTGTATATTGAGGCCTACCGACGCAGAGGCTGCTGCCAAACTAGTTTGTCTTCATCTGCATTTATTGATGTGTATGCAATAGAAGGGCTAGGTCATCTGCGAAGTCGAAATCATCTAATTGGTTCTGCATTATCAATTCTATTCCATGCTTCCCCTCAGATGTCGAGGTCCTCATAATCCAGTCGACCACCAGAAGAAAGGGAAGGGCAGAGAGTAGACAGCCTTATCTGACTCTGGTCGTCACTCGAAATGCATCTTTCAGCTGTTCTCCATGCACAACTTTGCATTGTATTCCATCGTATGAATTCCATATGATATTGACGATTTTCTCATGTACTCCATAGCATCGAAGAGGATTACATAATGTGCTCCTATTCACACTATCAAATGCTTTCTCATAATTGATGAAGTTGATGTATAGTGACGAGTTCCACTCAACTGATTGTGTGACGATTTGGTCTGTCCACGATCAATCCTTACGGAATTCATCCTGTTGATCTTGAGATTGGGCGTCTACTGAGTCTTTCATCTGATTCAGCAACACTCTGTTGAAGACTTTCCCTGGTACTGATAGTAGTGTGATGCCCCTATAGTTCTCACATTTGTTCAGATCTCCTTTCATTGTTATCTTGATGAGATATCATTCTTTGCAGTGTGTCAGCACTTGATCTTCCTCCCCTCAAATCTTCCTGAATAGAATGTGGAGTATGTTTGCAATCGCTTCTATGTCTCAATGATCGGCATGCCTCCTTTATCCTTGACCGGTCTCTCAGGTTTACTATATTTGTCTACCAATTTCTTCGTTTTGTCATATAGCTGTATCATATTTCCTTCTGCTGCATCTTTTTCCGCTGTTATTACTAGATCTTCCACATATTTCTACTTGTTAGCTCTAATACTCCTATTCACTTGCTTGTGTCATCCATCTTGTTCATAAAATTAGCTCAGAGAAAATAATCCAATGAAATATATTTCTCACAAGTGAAGATTTTCCCTATCTCTAAAAGACTAAACAATTAATTGTTATTAATGTCACCTATTTTACTCCAATCCCCTGGAAATTTACTTACATTTTATAATTTATTTTAAACATAAATTTTTTTTCTTCATTTTAATGTGAACTTTATTTCGATTATCTGTGAACAGGTAACCAAGACAACAGAACGATATACATTAAGGTGAATTTTTTTAATGAACAGATATCTTTATTATAAATAATATTTTGCATCGTATACTTTCTAAACTATCTCATATTGGTTCTTTTTTTTACTGTCAATAGAATACAAAAGACATTATTCATTATACTGTAGAGTAATAATTATTCTTCAATGATTTATGTTATACTACTAACATTCAGAATATGAAAAACATCTTTCTCTTACCCTAGAAAATAGAGGTATGATAGAGGATAAGTTATTTTAATCCATGAATAGTTATATGTATTACATTGATAAATTATAACTTGTATCGAATATTGGTCATTGATATTGACTACTAATTGTTGATTATTTATTAACATTAGAATATTATTTATATAATTGAAGACAAGTTACTAGTTGAAAATAGAAACTAATATGTCAATAACAGACTGATCAATTACAGTCTTAAAACCTCAGTGGGAAAATTTAAGCAAAACAATACCAAGTGGAGAAATTAATAGCATTTCTGATTTATTAAATCTATTGATTGATGTAACTTCTAAAGTTTCGAATGTACAGTGAGTGAAATGCTTTCGTTTTATCCAATTGTTAGAAGACAATATAAAGTTAAATACCATATTCGATGAATAAATTGAAATTAATTTAATGCTTTTTTGACGAATGTAAACGCATTAGCTTACTATTTGTAAAGTTGACAGAAGTTATGAGATGGTGGAGAAGATTTACAACTCACGTTGATGATTTTGAGGCAGTTTTGTTCTTTGAGCCGGATGGTTTGGTCTTGGAGCTTCATCGTTCTTCTGAACGACATCATCAGCACAAACTTTAGGTAGAATTAAGGCGTATAGGACAAGCTGTGAACCACATGTGGAGATATTCGAACACTTCACTTCTACCTGAAGTTTGTGCTGACGATGTTGTTCAGAAGAAAGATAAAAGCTCCACGACTAAACCATCCAGCTCAGAGAACAAAACTTCTTCAAAAATGAAAGAAGTTTTATCAGGAATAATTTAGCTAATACTGTTAGTTGCTTTGTGTAATAAACAGTTATCATGAATTGATGAAATATTCCTTATATTGACAACAAAAGTCGACCTGTCCACCTAGTTAGTTTATTATGAAGTGAGCCACTTTAGGAATGAAAAAACAAGGGAACTATTACGAGTGAGTATTGGTTCAAATTGTATTACCTAATATCAGTCAAAGAAGAGGGAGAAAATTAAAAGAATAAAAGTAATGAAATTTTTATATCCATAGTGGTAAATGACGAAACATAAAGAATATAGCGAAAAAGTAATCATTAAATTAGTAAAAAGTTATATGTATAATAACAATAGCTTGA